AGAGAGAGAGAGAGAGAGAGAGAGAGAGAGAGAGAGAGAGAGAGAGAACTCTGGACACGTGGCAGTTGTCACCCCGCTTAGTCCTCCCACACCCGTCAGGTTCGCCCGCGCCCACAGTCCGTCATGGCCCGCGTCAACCCTCCGCGTTTGGCACCAGCTCGTCAGGTCGCCCGACTCCCACTTCAACTCACCTCTTGCTTCGCTCGTGAGCTGACCCTCACCGATCACGCTCCCCGAGCTTCCGATAACTGGTTAAGAGAGCTATCTAATCGCGCAGCCGGAATTTATAGTGTGCATGCATGCGCGAAGAACACCAAATTGCAAGGACTTAGAAAGGAGATTAAGAGAGGGAATGCCTACGTTCTGCATGGCCAGATCGCGGCGTGGGGGACTTTGCCACTCTCCACGCATTGATCCGATCATGCAGGCCGCGACTAACCAGACTCAGCAAGAAGAAAAGCGAGAGCGGGAAAGACGAAGTTCAAGAAGAAAGATACAGTTACGATGGCGCCCGCCCAGAATTACAGTTACACACACGATTAAGGGCGCCGACTAATCAGAGCTCCGTTGCAGCCGCAAAAAGAAGCGCGTAAGCAAAAAGTGCCGCGCGGCAAAAGAAAATCCGAATTGCAAATTTCCTAAATTCCTATTTAACGCAGAAAAACGAAAAGCACAATTTCCGAAAATAAAGTCCGAAATTTCGAGAGCCATCGGGGCTCGACGAGATTCAAAAAGTGAATTAAAAAAAGGACGAAGCAAAAATTCCCGCGCGGTCTTCGCGCCTAAAATCCAACAACAGGAAACGAAAAAGTGCAATCAAACTCGTTTTCAAACACACTTTTCATGCATGTAAACAGCAACGCAGCATACTGGCGGCATGCGCCCACTCCAAACTCAGAGATATGGCTTTCAGATACGAGTTCACTCTCAATTGGCTATGGCGACTTCAACTGCTATCCTACCGCCATTGCACTGCTGTTGCACTGCGGTTTAGTCCACCACTTGCCTCACCACTTGACCACTTGCCCACTTGCCTACCTTCTAGAAGGTCTACAGCTAAGCTTCCAGAACTCACTAAGACTCCTACGCTATAGACCTACAGATCGAACCCCTGCTGTCTATGGACCTACGACAGGTCTACCAACTGCCTACGAATACACAGGTCACAGGTTCAATTCTCGGGGTCTACACAGATACTGTACATGGGTAGGGTGAGGTCTAGGGATCAAACCCTGGGTACTGCATCCGCTACTGCTAAAAGGTGAAAACCGTTTCACTCCCGCCGTCCTAATTTCGAGGTCCTCCGAGAAAATTTTAGTCCAAGGCAGGACCTTTACCTTTCTTGTCACGCTCATAGGCCCTGACTATGTCGGGAGCGGTCTCTAGAAGTTTTGCTTTCGTGAACCAGCGGTCGTCTTCCGGTTCCTGATAAGCAAACCGGACCTTATACTGTTTCTGGGGACGACCTCTACCTCCTGTCCTAAACACATCCTCTTCTACAATGCCCTCTATGTCATAGCTTCCATCCATATCCGGTGGAA